AACTGACTGAAGACGACGTGTCGGTCTTTCACGCATCAAAATTGAAATTAACAAGAGAGAACGCTATAGTCGAGTGCCTCGACTATTAGATACCCGTTACTCAGCTAAACAACTTAATATAAATATGCCTTCTTGTATGTTTTTCGCCGCTCGAATTAGCACCTTGGCCAGCTGTTCCAAAGTCATCCGTTAGATGGCGCTACGGGCCATGAAAGGCGGAAATGTAGGCGCTAGCCAGGTTTAAGCGTTTAATGGGTTTTTGGGCGTTAGAGTGGGCGTGGCAAACTTATATTAGGCCAATCGATAGGTATTGACGAAACAAATACATATCAATTAAAATTTTCATAATAGCATCAAAACTGTGGCCACAGCTTGTGGCTTGTGGGCGTCAAAGGGGGCGTGGCACCATTTTGAAACAAAGTTGCGCTGCGTAGGAACTCCTAAAATCTGCAAGCAAAATATAGGGTCGGAAACGCTTCCTTCTACCTGTTACATACTTTTTACTCTACGAGTAACGGGTATAAAAATTGTACCAGAAACCGAAAACAAATTGATTGCTTGGTCGATAAGTCTGGTTCTAACTTGGGTGACCTGGCTGATATTTTATTTTAACAACTTCTGGAATGGCCCACACCGGAGTCCGATCACTCACTTAGGCTTCGCAGTTGTCGACTTCCAAATATTGTTAAACTTTTGTCTCCACGTTCATAAAAAACGGAGCTCCGACGCCTAGAAATGGGAAAATATCGATGGCATATTCGATATTTTGAAGGTAAATATTCGTCGATAGTATCAAAAATAAATCTTTTTTTTATTTGGATTATTATATTTTGTTTGGTATTGAGCTTTCCTTAATAGCTTAACGAAAATAAAAATAAAAAAATACTGAAAGAAAGTTAAGTTAAAACATCTACATATGTTGTCTTTGAGATCCAATAGTTTCTGTTCAAAAACGACAACATCCCCTCATTCATGGGTTTTAATTATGCCCTCCTGGCCTATATAATTTGACTAGTTTTACTAAACATCCTCTCCGACTCGGTTTAAAAATCTTGTACGCAAAGAACGTGTTAGTTTTAAAACAGGAATCTGTTGGTGCGGACAAAAAATTTGAGAGTTATTGAGAAAGCGACATGCTTATTTTTAGAATAATTACCTTCAAAATATTCAAAGGATCATTATACTGAAGTCAAGTTGCCGCTCGCATATATTGCAAACCACGCGGTTTGTCCTCCCCTTATGGGCAACGTAGGTGTTTAGAAACTCGCAAGTATTGGCTTTTCTATTGGTGTTGGCAGGTCCGATTGTGAAATTGCAGTTCCCTTTTTTCATTGAATGGCGAACGAAATCCCTTTTTTTTTAAATCTGGGTCCAGCAGTGTCCGATTCTTCGGATATGTGTGCTCTTCATAAACCTTTTAACATGTTCAAGCAAAAATTTGTGAACTTCAATCAAACGAATTCAGTTTCAGTGCAACGTGGTCCAAGGTGTATCTAGCAGCACACAAATTATTAATGATAAAGTAACAAAAGTACTTGAGAAAAAATGATTCGTAGCACTTTCAAAAGAGAGAGTGACGTTCCAAAATCTAGCATTAAACCGATTTCGTCAGCCGTGAATGGTGATGGTGCTTTCGAGGTACTTAAAACTACTTTCACAATAAGTTTGCAGGATTCGGTCTGGGGCGGTTCCACATTGTTGGAACTTCCGGAATTAAACTGTATTTTTGTGAGGTTGTGAGTGAAATTGACATGCTTTTGAAGTATGTGACAATTCACTTTCCCGTTAATACAATGTCCTATAGGATGTCGAGAGCTAGACAGTCTTGAACAACGACTTGACATGGTGTTTCTGCAAAATTTCGCAAGCTTTTATCATCGTGCTGGCATTATTAGTAGTAATAGCCAATATTTTGCCATTACGTAAAGAACAAGCTATGTTTGTTTAACGGCTTTGTGGCCAATACTACCGAAGGCAAAAAAACCTGATTTAATAAAGTGGCAAGTGACGGAAATATATAATACGATAGTTTTTAAAGTCCATAAAGCTAATGTAATAGCGCAATTTTCAATACCGTTCAAAATTGGAATCTGTTTAGTTGCCTGAGCGTTGACTTCCGCTGCACAGGCTTCCATGTCGTTGGGGTCCACATCTAAGACCTTCAAAAAGTATTTCCTAGTACTAAAGAATAATCAATAAATATATTTTATTAGTTTTTTTGGTTTAACAAATAGATTTAATTAACGTCGATCAACCAACTAAATGGTTATAATACGTTGGGAATAATAAAGAACAAATAACGTGAAAACATAACAGTAGTGATTAACAAATTTTATAACAAATTAACAGTAAGTGGTTAATGCTTAAGAACTTGAGTCATCCTTTTGTCCAGAGATCGGCGTGGTGTCTTCGCTTTAGACTTCGTCTACACGTCGGGTTGGCCAGGGAAGCTGCTAGGTGGTTGGTGTGGACAGCGAGTCGATCGTTGTATCGACTCGAGTGGAGGTTTATCTGTTCCCTTATAAAAGGAATGTGGAGGTCATTTCCAAGGGCGTCGTTCCTGATGTACCAGGGCGCATTTGCAATCCTGCGCAGCGCCCGGTTTTGGACTCTTTGAACTTTAGCCACATTAGAGTCTGAAGCCATGCCCCACAATTGGATGCAGTAGGTCATTGAGGGCACCACAATTGATTTATAGAGCAACACTTTGTTTCCAAGGTTGAGCTTGCTCGTAGGCTTAAGCATCCAATTCAGCTTCCTCAGTTTAGTGCGACAAGTGGCTGCAATTGTTAGGATGTGCGCTTTCCATGTGAGCCGCTTGTCCAGGATCAGACCCAAGTACTGCGCCTGGCGTGATTGCGGCATGGTGATTGTGGAGTTCAACTCTAGGAAGCACCTTTTCTCTAAGAGTAAAATTTAAATGTTGTGACTTTCTTCCATCGATAGCAATATTCCACCTGTTTGTCCACTTGCCGTACAGATCCAGGAAGTCCTGGGTGATCCTTGATGCCTCGACTCGGCAGGAGGAGTTCACAAGAAAGGCAGTGTCGTCAGCGTAGGTGGCCAGAAGTGTGCCTGGTTGTGTAGGACATGGCAGATCCGAAGTGTACAGAGTGTACATAATGGGACCCAGGACGCTTCCCTGTGGAACGCCAGCTAGAGCAGTTCTAATGTTTGACCTTTCCCCTCTTGCCTCGACCATAAAACTTCGATCAAGCAAGTATGATTTTAGTAAGAGGAATTGGCCGGTCGGGAGCAGGGATTTCAACTTATGAAGTAATCCAGCGTGCCAAACGCGGTCAAAGGCTTTCTTGACGTCGAGGAAAATAGCAGAATTGTATTACTTATTTTTAAAAGCATTTAAAATGTGTTGAACGACTCTATGTGCTTGTTCTGGTGTCCCATGATGATGCCTAAAACCAAACTGGTGGTCGGGAATGGCGTCCTGCACGCTTCTTACGCCAATTATTCTAGTAAGAAATATCCTCTCGAATATTTTAGAGAAAGCGGTCGGTATGACTCGACAAGGTTCTCCGGTTTTCCTGGCTTTGGTATCATCGTTATCACAGCACACTTCCATTGGGATGGTAAGTGGTGGATACGTAGCATTGAATTATAGAGAACAAGGAACAGGATTCCCTTTTTAGGCAAAGCCTTGGCAATTCTGCTATTAATGCCATCGAAACCAGTCGCCTTACTGGGATGTAACTTTCGAATATGAAGGTAGACTTCTTCTGGGCTAACATGTTGGATCGGTAGTGCATTCGGGGAAGGAGTATTAAGAAAGGCCAGTCTTTCTTCAACATCCTCGGGACTCGCGAGATCAAAAGGCTGAAAGCGTTTCTCAAGTTCGTTCGCAAAAGCTAGAGAAATCTCTGAGTCAGACACCATGTGTCGTCAGCTTTTTATACCCGTTACTCGTAGAGTAAGAGGGTATATTGTATTCGTGCAAAAGTATGTAACAGGTATAAAGTATATATATTCTTGTTCAGGATCACTAGCCGAGTCGATCTAGCCATGTCCGTCTGTCTGTCCGTCCGTATGAACGCTGAGATCTCGGAAACTAGATAGATTTTAGAAGTTCCTACGTTTCAAAATGGTGCCACGCCCCCTCTGACGCCCACAAGCCACAAGCTGTGGCCACAGTTTTGATGATATTATGAAAATTTTAATTGATATGTATTTGTTTCGTCAATACCTATCGATTGGCCTAATAAAAGTTTGCCACGCCCACTCTAACGCTCAAAAACTCATTAAACGCTTAAGCCTGGCTAGCGCCTACATTTCCGCCTTTCATGGCGCCATCTAACGGAGGACTTTGGATCAGCTGGCCAAGGTGCTCAACGGAGTCAACGTTAATTCTCGATAAGGATTTCTATTAAAGGAAATTGCGATGGTTTTCATTTGTCAATACCGAACTATATCCCAAAAACTATGCAAATCAAATAAAGTTAGCCAAATTGGAGGTCTGAGTCAAACAATGGCGTATGCGGGTATGTATGTAAGCATATACATATGTATGTATTTACACTGTACACAGTTGCAATTGCCCTGCAAAGATAACTCCGTTACTCGTGTTGTGCAAACATTTAGACTTTAATATACATAATACTATTTAAGAATGTATGTGTTTAGCCAATATAAGTATGTATGTTTAATATTTCTAGTCAATTTATTGCACTCAAAAACATAAACATAAACACAGCTGCTGGTGCAGTACAAAAGCTGCCTGCGCTAAAGCAGCGCTGGTGCTGTAAAAAAAACAAAAAAAAACACAAGAAGGTATATTTATATTAAGTTGTTTAGCTGAGTAACGGGTATCTAATAGTCCCTTGTTTTTATTGGGATCTTTCGAAGAGGCTGTCGTTTCATATTCCGTGTACATTTCCAAAGGTTGAAGCCGTACGATTTGGTGGGATCCGCGTTGAGGAGTATTTCATCAAAATATTCGCGTTTAGTTTGGTACAGAAGTTTTTTAAGATCATCTTCGGCACGACGATATGAGCTTTTGTCGACTGGATCTTGAGATCTCATATATCTGCGACGTAGGGATCTTTTAAACCTTACCAGTTCCATCAGGTTTTAAAAGAGCCTGAGGTGGGTTGGAAGGGTTTGGGACTTGTCCACAGGTTGAGGACTCGGCAGTGATATGAATATTCCAGACAAACCGTTCGCCACCAAATACTCTTCTCTTTTCGGCCTTGGTAGGAGCTGGTTACCAACTGATTTCGGTGGTATTTTGTGTGATCATGTTCGCGATAGTCGGTGAACTTTACACGGAAAGCGGTTCCATGCTGTCGAAGGATATATTTGTGTATGCTGCCACCTCTCCAATTAATGGTTACTTTGGAAGATCGCTATATGCCCGATTGGGAGGACGAATGTGGATTCGGCAGATGCTGGTCTCCGCATTTACAGTTCCAGTGGCTGTGTGCGGCACGGCTTTCCTAATCAATTTCATTGCTATCGGGTATTATGCATCGAGAGCCATACCCTTCGGCACCATGGTGGCGGTCACCTGCATCTGTATATTTGTGATCCTGCCTTTGACTTTGGTGGGCACTGTGGTCGGCCGCAATCTGGATGGTCAGCCGGACTTCCCTTGTCGAGTGAACGCTGTTCCGCGGCCTATTCCCGAAAAGAAGTGGTACATGGAGCCGCTGATTATTGTGCTTTTGGGTGGCGTCCTGCCCTTTGGATCCATCTTCATTGAGATGTACTTTATCTTCACTTCCTTCTGGGCATACAAAATCTACTATGTCTATGGCTTCATGTTGCTAGTGTTCAGTATCTTGACTGTGGTGACGGTGTGTGTTACTATTGTGTGCACATACTTCCTGCTGAATGCGGAGGACTACCGATGGCAGTGGACGAGTTTCATGGCGGCAGGCTCCACGTCTATTTACGTAAATGCCTACTCCTTTTATTACTTTTTTTTCAAGACCAAAATGTTTGGTCTATTCCAAACGGCCTTCTACTTTGGCTACATGGCTCTCTTCAGCGGCGCCTTGGAAATTATCTGCGGCACCGTCGGCTATGTGGGCACGAATCTCTTCGTGCGCAAAATCTATTCCAATGTGAAAATAGACTAAGAGCCCTGCGACTCAATTTGCAGCAACCCGCCCCCAGATCTGTATATCATCCTAATCGATTTACACTTGTATTTATTGAGTAGAGTTTTAGTTCTGTGTGTTTACTTTTGCTCCAGTTGGCTCTTCTCTCTCCGTCTCTTTGTGTTTCTCACTTCTCATGTTGGTATGAAAATGAACGCCAGTCCAATGTATTCCCACCAAAGATTAAATATTCAGTTTAACGATGTATACGCAAGGCACATATATTACTTAAATAGTGCTTTTCGGGATTGCAAGACAATGAACTAAGAAATAGCAAAGCGGATTCAATTTTAATGAAATGTAGAAAAAATAACAATAAGATTTAATTGTAAATTGAAAGCTCAGTTTGTTGCATTTACGTTCTGATAGATTTAAGAGTCAATTATCAATCTTATCTATTTGGACTGGAATCTCCTTAAATTCCATAAAATTAGTAATTATTAAACAAAAAGATATAACCTTTTCCTAGATTTCTTTATTTCATTTCATATCTAAATCTTGATAGTCATATATTTTTCCTACAAAAACCGAAGAAAACATTTTTGCCTTATATGTGCTTTTGCGTTGGCGTATGCTTGCGTACCGTATACATCAAGTATTTTATTTGAATTGTTTGCCTAGAAAACTTATCAATCTATGCAATTGCAACAAAATGTGACTTGAACTTGTTTGCGCCAATTAAGTTTATGTACGATGCAAGAAATATGCTGATTAGCAATAGTCGATAATCTTAAAAAACATCTCCACAGCGTCGTTGATGTCGTCAGGCGAGCTTAACACCATATATAGGTTAACAAGCCGGTTGACTGCTGCTTGAAAGCGAGGAAGGCTCGCATTTCGATGAAGGATGCGAGGCCTGGAGCAAATTTTTTGCGCAGCGACTCTGAATTTGATGATCGATGGGATGTGATCAGAGCTAAGCTCAAGACTTTCTGTAATGGAAAGACACTCAGACCCTATCCCGCCGTATACAGCAAAGTCAATGGCTGTTGGTGTTCTTCGGACTTATGGATAATGCGAAGGCACTCCGGTTGCAAGGACCTGCACATTGGATCTTTGAACAAGGTCTGCGAGTGCTCTTCCGGAGGTGGTTGAGTTTCGAGACCCCCACAAAACGGTGGTGAGCATTCCAGTCCCCTGCGATTATGAAATTTGATCCCAGATCGTCAAAGAGCTTTTCAAAGTCGTTAGCAGAACATTGAAAGTTTGGTGGACAATATATAGACGCAATTGCTGTCTCGCCAAGGTCGGTTTTGACTTTGACTGAGACACATTGAACATTTTGACTTTGTAGACTATAGATCTGGTAACATTGTAGACAGGATTTTATTATAATTGCGGAGCCACCGCGTTTTTTATCGGCAAGATGAGTTGCTTGATAAATATCGTACCCGTGCAATTTGTAGTATGACCTTGAGCAAAAGTGTGTTTCACTAACCAGCATAATATCAATATTATGACTATGCACAAAGACCTTCAGCTCAAGGTCTTTGTTGGCAAGTCCGTCGGCGTTCCACACACCAATGTTAAGGCCGATTTGACTCATGGTTGTGTTGCATTAACTGGGAGAGATCCAGCTAATGATTGAGCTGTTCTTGGAGTATTTTGGGGTAACAGTCTTGTGACAAGTCCCATCATCGACACCATCATTTGGAATAACTTGTCGATCTGAGCAACAAGGCCGACATTCTTTCGTTGGATTGCAGGAACATTTGCTCTTGACGCTGCCATTGCTGGTCGTTGATCAATTACTGCGGGTTGCATCGGTGTTGTTGACGGAGAGACTGCTGCTGGTGATCCAGCTGTTATTGTTGTTGAGGAGCCAGTTGTTGCTGTGATGGCTGCTGCTGCTGCTGTCGAGGCGGTGCTTTTTGATGCTGACTCTGGATCCTGTTGTTGCTGCTCAGTGGAGGAAACTGTTGACTCTGTGGAAGAGTCATATTAACTTGTTGGAGCTGGGGACTGCTAACTTGACCACGGACAGCGTTGGCATAGGAGATTGGATTAGCAGAGTTTGACCGACCATTTTTAGGAGTTAGCTGTATGGAAACGGTGCTGCGATGGGATATGACATTTTTCCGTCGATTAGCAATCTGCTGATATACGATACAGCCTTTATAGCTAGCTGTATGGTTTCCGCCACAGTTAACGCATTTGACAGGGTGAATGTCTTTTAAGCAGGCCTCCACACCGTGTTGCAGGCCACATCTGACGCAGTTAAAAAGTTTTTGGTGATGATTTTTTGTGTGTCCAAATGCTTGGCACCGGTGACATTGAACGACATCATCCTTTTTGTAGGGGAGTTCAACTTGAACCCTTTGCCGACAAAGTGTCTTAATCTCATGGATGTCTTTGTTATTTGACTCCGGTTCTAGTTCAACAAAAACCAGGTTGACGAACTTGGTTTTGTCAAAGCGGCTTCTAGGTCTATTGACAAATCGAACCGCGTGTCCAGCCGAGATAATACTTTCCTTAATATTTTCATCCGGGACGGAATGATGGACACCACGGATGACTACACGATAGGATCTATCTTCTTTTAACTGCCAGGAATGGTATGGCACTTTTTTAAGGGTAAGGGATTTTGTTATAGCTCTGTATGCATCTGAATCTGCAGCTATAATGGAAACAGAGTTGTTGGGATGGCATTTGAGGGAGTATTTGGACGGGTCAACGATCTTGTCTGTGGATCTAATAAGACCGTTCAGGTTCTCACAATGATCAACCATAATTGGGGGCGGTTTGTGGGAGGTTATATGTTTCTGGCTGCCAGATGGACGGCTGAGATTCTTATTGTTGTTTCCGGTATTGTTGCCAACTTTGGTGTGGACAACGTTGTTGTTGCTAGGGTTGTTGGAAGAGCTGTTGCCGTTGCTGATGTTGCTGCTGACCAGTCTTAAGCCGGTGGAAGTACTGGCATTTTCAGAATCATTGCGGCTGACCGTATGAGGAACTTGGACGTGTCACATGTCTGTGTCCATGTCCGACAGTTCTGAGAATCGGTTGGCCGAAACATTGGTGATGCTGAATTCGATGATCTTGAGTTAAGAAGGCATTTGTTGTTAGCCGATCTTGTGGTCCACCAGTCCTCATCGTCGCCATTTATGGCTGCTACTTCCGGTTCCGTATCATTGTCTGACGATGGTGCAATGTTGTACGAGGGGGAAGTATATGGAAGTCTAGCTTGCCGTAGTACCTCTTTCGTTTTTTGTTGAATTCGTGCCACAATCTTACTGATGTTTAAGTCATCTTTGGAGTCCGAAAGACCAGACGTTATATGTATAATGCACTGCTTTGCACTGCTTTACCGATTCCTTGAATATTCAGGCCCTTTGCCTGGATTCCGAAAATTGTGATCGTAGCCTAGTGGGCAAGGCGTAGGCCCCGCAGTTGGGCGGAACCCAGCTCAAACCCTCCAAAAGGGAGAAAGTTATTAAGATCAAAATAAAATTCGAATTCGAATTTGGACAAACTAGCGGAGTTTTGCACTTGCTTTGGCTTTCATGTTCTCACGAGAAGCACAACTAACTGAGCGTAGGGGCACTGACACCGCGACTTTAGAAGTCGGATTCACAAAAGAAATGAATTTTGCCACGGAGGTGGACTTGTCCATAGACTCTTCATAATGAAATTCGTAGCGATAGAGAAACGCGTCTGCACTCCACGAAAGCATGATCGAGGCTGTATTTTATTAGTTAATTGTAAAACACAAATATAAGTATGGGGACATACTCTCGTTCTCCAATGTGTTCTGCTCCATGTTGTGAATACGGTATGCGCCTGGGTAATGGAGCAATAATTAATTAATTATTACAAGTATAAACAGAATTGATTTGGCGCCTTTCATTTTGAAAAGTTCCCTGTCATTATTGCTTACGTTTTCGTAGTGAATGTTTAAGTTTTCACCGGCAAGAAGAACTCAGAGTTGCACCGAAAAAACATCGCCTAACTATCGCATAAAAAAGTCCGTCAAATTTGGAAGGGGGAACAAACTGGGAATTTTCGGAACAGCAAAACCTTATGGACGATCCGTTCAACGGATGTTGGATGGATCTCTGTGGGACGGCGGCATAAATCATTGTCTATTTTCAGATTTCGCTCAGATTCCAGGCCGTATTCGTTTACCAACTATAGCCTAGTATCCAGATCGACAAACGATTACGCTAGCGTAAAAACTTTAATCCAGTGTGACCAAAATTGTGAGAGTTCATCAGATTTAAGCGTGCTACGGTCGTACTGTCAATCAGCTAGGTTTGTTGACAAGCAGTTAAAATTCAAATATTGTATTTGCGGGAAAGAGCCTTTATAAGATATTATCAAATACCTTGGCAAGACAAGTCTGCCGGTGTACAAAGAAATTAAAAAACAATACAATTTAAATTTAACAGTTGTTTTTTTTTAATTTACTGATAATTAATTGCTAATTTAAAGTTCATAGCTGCACTTTCATTGCGTTTTTTCGTACATTCTGGACCTAAAAAACATTTTGCTCTGAAAAGAGGCACCCAGATAGTATTAATGTTATTTTGTCCTCACATGTAAACACCTGCAATCGACTTTTCTGAGTTTTTTGAGTTTTTCCCTCCATTTCTTATAATGTTCAGTAAGAAGCGCACGCCAAAAGATTAAATTTTTTAATCTTTTCGCTAAGGTTCACCCAAAGTTCATTTCCGCAGATTGGCAACGCTGTTGAATTTTCTATTTTTTCGTCGATCTGTGGACCGACGTGAAAAAAAGGCCCGACGAAAAGTGAACGCCAGCTGTTGCCTCTCGTTCTCTCTCATGACTGGCGTACGGTTTTCGTCGATCTGAATACTAGGCTTATGGAACAATAGAGCTGGGAAACTTTTGATGGTGGTGCCATTCAATATTTTCGCTGGTTTAGCCTAATACTCAGATCGACAAAAACTGTCCGCCAGTCATGAGTGAGAGCGAGAGGCAAACAGCTGGCGTTCACTTTTCGTCAACGTTTTTTTTCACCTCGGTCCTCAGATCGACGAAAAAAATACCAGAAAATTGCATAGCGTTGCCAGTCTGCGGAAATGAACTTTGGGTGAACCCTAGCGAAAAGATTAAAAAATTTAAACTTTTGGCGTACGCTTCTCACTGAACAATATAAGAAATGGAGGGAAAAACTC